TTATTTTATACGAATTTAACATAAATTATTGTAAATTTCAGTACAAATCTTTATCAAATAGAGAAATTTTAAAAAATACCACTTTTCAAGTGCCACTTTACAAAAATGCCACACTTTTGAAATCTTTACAAAAATGCCACTTTTTCAAAATTATTTTTTCTTTATATTATTTATGTTTGGGTTAATTATGTTCAATTAGGATTTAGTTATGAGGGTTTAAGGGGGTTTAGGGGTCAAAACATTTTTTAGTGTTTAGAATTTTAAGATATATAGTTTAAAAATCTATAATTAGTGGCATTTTGGCAAATGAACACCCCTAAGTGACATTTTGGCAAATAAACATCCCTAAGTGGCATTTTTGCAAATGTGCACATAAAAAGTGGTATTTTTGCAATTTCTCCTATCAAATATTAGATATCAAATTCTGGTTATAGATTTTCGAAAAATAATTATGATATCAAATTGATTTGGGAGGTTTGGTTTAATAATCCAAAAAAATTATGTAATTTGAAAACTGACCTAGATTTTCAAATTTTTGCAAACTAACATTTTTAATGTAATAAGACAATAATTCTTTCATAAAATTTTAGAATGTATAATTACAAAAATTATATTTTGAATCAGATTGCGTAAACTGTTAACCATTACTATTCCAAATGACCCTCAAACTAGCACCAATTATATCATTCTTGTTATTGTTTCAAGTGGTTCCAAAGATTAAAATATAGTAAAAACGAAAAAACGATGTTTAGTCGCGCATAAAAAAAAAATATCAATCTATAACACTGTTTGTACAACCTTTTCCATCAACAAGCATTACATGAATTGTCTTTAGAAGAAGATCTGATGCATTTGCCAAAATCACCACTCACTCATGTCAATTCTGATTGTGCATAAGTTCAACCATCACTTTAACTATATGTTGGTTAATGTTTCACATTTTCTAACATTTTTTTTTATTTTTAGGGATCCAAAACTACAATTCCCTTTCTCAGCATGTAAATAACACGAGATGATTCTTTATCCTAGAACATAAACTAAATCATTTATATTATACAAAATACAAGAATGGCAGTAGGCAAAAAAATTGCCAAAAATGTTAATTTAATTTTTCAATAATCAACTATTCATATGAACTAAATATTTCATGACTTGAACACAAGCCAAAACTTTTATGGAGTTGACCATTCTTAATCTTTCCATATGTGTAATTTTTTATGACTTTATATTTTATGTGTAATTTATATTTTTTCTCTTTTAATTCATCAAGTGAAAAGATTTTTGTTTTTTTTTATTTGTAAATTATTGTATAATAGAAATAATATACAATGATAACACAACTTGATTTAAAAAAGCTTTATATATTTGATTTGTTTAGATTATTTTGATAATTTCAATTGCAAAAGAAAAATTTATTTTTCAAACTTTTAAAAACATGGGTTAGTTTTCAAAATACACATATTTTTTGTAATATTTCTACAAATTTCTGTAATTTTTAAATATATTGTAACCTTTTAACAACAAATTTTTAAGAAAATATTTTCGTTGGCAAAAATTTTGTCTAATGATGAGTGTCATCCAGCATGATTTTTCCGTTGTAGCCTAAGGTGGAT